TCACCCTAACCCTAATCTTAATCAGGGTTTATTTTTTATAAAAATTGGTTTAAAAATAATACCCATGTACAAACACTTAGTGTAAATTAATAATTTTTCTAGTTTTTAATTATTTTTTAACAATAATTTTAAATATTGGCCTGTTTTAAATGAGGTTTCGAGTTTCGGATGAGCTATAATCCAAAACCCGAAACTTTTGGATTTGGCAAAAAAGGGTTTCGGGGCCAATTCTGTTATGGATAAACAACCTAAAGGTTCTTGATTGCTAAATCTATCGTTTCAATATTTTCGTTTAATTCATTATTGTTTCCTTTTTGATTATTATAAATATTTATTTTAAGCAAAAATAATAACATAAATTTTTAAAAAGTCTTACTTCGATGCGATGTTGTTGATTATGACATCAATACATGTTTGAGTTACATTTTTTATAATCTCAACTTGAATTACATTTTTTTTTAAACCAATTGACAAAATTTTTTTTGGTTAGACGTGTTAATATGTTTATTAAATTTCTTTTTATATACTGTTCATAACGAAATCGCCGATTAGTCATCGATCAAATTTTTATCAGTTGTCCCAGAATCTGAGAACAGCTATAAAATAGAGTTTTTTTATGCAAGTTCACCAAATCACTCGTTATAATTATTATAATAACGGAAAACTTAAAACAATTCATGTAAAAACTCTTTCGATATAGTGAATTTCCTAGTAGACTCTCGATATAAAGAAAATTTTTTATTCAGATGACTTCAATATAACGAGTAACTGTAGTTAAGACTAATACGAACCATTTTAAAATTTCAAATTAGGAACGACTCTAAGCATGAGAGCTAATATTAAAGATATAATACATTTATACAGTTGAAACTCTCAAAATTGCTACTAATATACAATCTAATAATTCAAATAAGATAACTTCACAATCCACCATACCTACAAGTTTGGAAATACAATAGTATTTGTAAATGCAATCTGATCAGTTAAGATTTTAAACCTCGTAATAAGTAATACACGTAACAATTCGTAAATTTATTATTTCTTACATAAATTTTTACATTGCCTGTCCCTTTCCCTGACCTGAACCTTAACTTACCTTCATCATTAAATTTAAAATCTACTTATATTCCGATCAGAAATTATTGCGACCAAAAGTGCTTACGTTATTAATGAACCAAAAATCATTTGTTTATTATAATATTCATAGATTATAATTTATATTCCCATGCTATGTATTAAATCGATACTAAAATTCTCATGACTAGAAAACAATGGATTAAAAAATTGAACCATAAAACTAAGGGAGGATAGATTATTATGAGTATTGCAAAATTGTGAAACTATATATATTTAAGTTTTATAACTTACCAAGTAAGAAAAACCATTTAAATATTTAAAATTAAAAAAAAAAAGATGCCAAAATATAAAGATTACTTAATTCGATATGATAACTGCGACTACACAACTTAAATCCTTGTTATAATCATAAAAACCGAATCTGAGCGGAGAGTTATTGTTATATTTGATAACTTTGCAATCCAGAGAAAGTTTTAACTATCTCATAGGATGTTATAATTTGCTTTAAAAGCAAGTATTCAAACTCATTGAACGTAAAATGAAAAAATTGCGTAATGTTTATTCACATTAAGAAGAATCTAGATTAGTCCTATCAATTAATATAAAGTGTATTCCTTTAACTATATCAAATTCACTATTGTTTGTATAGCAGATACGAAGTTGTATACTGTATCAGACAACACAATAGTTTCCTTGATCAATAAGTAATTGTCTACTTAAAGAAATCATTTTATCCACGTCATCATAAAATATTGTCACTACCAATAATCTGCACCAATTAAAAATAACGAATATCAACAAAATTTTATATAAAATTCTGTATTATCAGACCTCTTTCGTTCCCATTTAGCAATCTTCCAATCTTCTTCATCAACTATCATAATTTTCTGATTAAAATTATTTTCATAGTAAAACTTTCTCGGAATATTTTTGTTACCTTCCGAGATATTATTAGAAGAAGTGATGGATGTTTGTTGTTTATTTATATAAGAAAGTAGTTCCTCTAATGTTGTTGTTTCTGGAATTTGAAATTTGTTTTTTATTGCGGTACGATGAGTTGGAGAATTGATTGTGTAGTTTATCGTGAATGTGGATCCTTTATTCTATTCGCAATTATATATAGTATTAGAATATCAAATATGAGATATTAAAAGCATCTTAAATTACCTTTGTGATATTATTATGCTTAGGTTGATTATTGACTGTTTGATTGTTGATCCTCTTGGTTTCAGGTGGCTTGACTCTGGTTGACTTGTC